AAAGGATCCAGCGCTCGAGAGAAGGTTCCAACCCGTAAAAGTACCGGAGCCCACTGTGGATGAAACCATTCAGATTCTGAAAGGTCTTAGAGAGAGATACGAGATTCATCACAAGCTTCGTTACACCGATGAAGCTTTAGTTGCCGCTGCTCAGTTATCCTATCAGTATATCAGGTACATACTCGATTACAACTAGACCCCCTCGGGTTTGAAAAAATTACACAAACACCCCCATTGAGGTCAAGGTCTATGCTTTCCCGATTCGTTTGTCTCGATGTTGTTGTTTTTCAAACCTCTGACTGGACTATTATTTGAATGTTTTAGTGACCGATTTTTGCCTGATAAAGCAATTGACTTGGTCGATGAAGCTGGCTCTCGAGTCCGACTTCGTCATGCACAGGTATATGAAGTTCTTTTCTTACAACTGATACAATTGTCTTCCTCTGTAATATGTATATATATAGGAGTGGAAATTGGAACATAATTTGAAAATTACGTCAATTCTGATCCAAAAAATTCTGGTTTTGGAACAATTTTTGTTCTGATTCTCCAAACTTTTTTTGGGATCGGAATTGGAAGTATATATGAAATTATTGATTTTCAATCTGATTTTAATTTCGAAAGTACACCAGAAAATCCATATTTTGACTACATAATTTATATGATGTATATATAATGTCTGTAAAAAAATATACAAAAAGTCGGGTGATAAAGAAAAAATCTTTAATTGTGTTTAAAGTTTATACTGTTGAAGGCTGTAATATGCAATGGTTCTTTTATCCTTAAACAGCTACCCGAGGAAGCTAGAGAGCTCGAAAAAGAGCTGAGGCAGATAACCAAGGAGAAGAACGAAGCTGTCCGAGGACAAGACTTTGAGAAGGTAAATTACATCTTTACGACATTTATCAATGTTTTACGATATTATGGTGCATGTCTTTTTCTCATTTCCTGATTTTGCACTAATTTTAATTGAAATTAAAATTTATAGGCTGGGGAACTACGCGACAGAGAAATGGACCTCAAGGCCCAAATCTCCACCCTGATCGACAAAAACAAAGAGATGTCCAAAGCCGAAACGGAAGCCGGCGACGTAGGCCCGGTCGTAACTGAAGTCGACATCCAGCACATCGTATCCTCATGGACCGGCATCCCGGTGGATAAGGTCTCCACCGACGAATCCGACCGCCTCCTCAAGATGGAAGACACCCTCCACACCCGCATCATCGGCCAAGACGAAGCCGTAAAAGCCATCTCCCGGGCCATCCGCCGGGCCCGTGTGGGCCTCAAGAACCCCAACCGCCCAATCGCCAGCTTCATCTTCTCGGGCCCCACGGGTGTCGGCAAATCCGAGCTGGCGAAAGCCCTCGCCACCTACTACTTCGGCTCCGAGGAGGCCATGATCCGATTGGACATGAGTGAGTTCATGGAGAGGCACACTGTATCAAAACTCATCGGATCGCCGCCCGGGTACGTCGGCTACACAGAGGGCGGGCAGCTGACCGAGGCGGTCCGTCGCCGCCCGTACACGGTCGTCCTCTTTGACGAGATCGAAAAGGCCCACCCGGACGTTTTCAACATGATGCTCCAAATCTTAGAAGACGGAAGGTTGACCGACAGTAAAGGCCGTACGGTTGACTTCAAGAACACGCTGTTGATCATGACCTCAAACGTCGGGAGTTCGGTGATTGAAAAGGGTGGCCGTAGGATCGGGTTCGATCTCGACTACGACGAGAAGGACAGCAGCTACAACAGGATCAAGAGCCTGGTCACCGAAGAGTTGAAGCAATACTTCCGCCCCGAGTTCTTGAACAGGCTCGACGAAATGATTGTCTTCAGGCAGTTGACCAAGCTCGAAGTCAAGGAGATAGCCGATATTATGCTCAAGGAGGTTTTCGAGAGGCTCAAGGTGAAGGAGATCGAGCTTCAAGTTACCGAGAGGTTTAGGGATAGGGTTGTGGACGAAGGGTACAACCCTAGCTACGGAGCTCGACCTCTGAGGAGGGCTATTATGAGGCTCTTGGAGGATAGCATGGCCGAAAAAATGCTTGCGCGCGAGATTAAAGAAGGTGATTCGGTTATCGTGGACGTTGATTCCGATGGGAAGGTGATTGTTCTGAACGGAAGCAGTGGGGCCCCTCCGGAAACTTCTACTCCCGAAGAGGTGGTGGTGTAGGGAATATTTGGGTTTTCGGCTTTGGAGTCGAGTGTGTTGTTTGTATCATCTGTATCTGCCAGCTGTGTTTTTCGGTTCGGGGTGGGGTTTCGAAGATTTTAATGGCTGCTTTGCTCCGTCTCGAAAGGATTATGTAGCTTTTCTAGATATTTATTATCTACTGTACTGAAACTTTATACAAACATTGTAGTATTGTCTTTTTTTTTTACACTAAGAATATTTATGGTAATAATGGGGATGTTAATTATGGTGAGTGGTGTCTGAGTTGTTTTTATTTATTTGGTGGGAGATATTTGATCTTTCTAGTAATCGGTATCAATTCAAAATCGACGGACCACACTCCACCGACACGTTGCCACTGCAAAGCTCTTGCCGACGTCTGAAAGGGAGGAGAGTAGTTGGTTAGTGATTTTGTGATTGTTTCGACAAATTTTGATATATCTCCGCAGAATTTTGAACAAGTAAAAAACACCCGACCTATGCCTCATGTGCATATTGTTGTTTCATAATCATTGTAAGAATTTTTCAACCTGTAAACGGCGAAAAAGCAAGTTGTTGAAATTGGATGCATCAGATCTCTTCTTGTATCTGAACAGAAGTTTCAAAATGGGCAATCCGGTATATGGTTCAGTATGAAATGATAATGTATGCTTTTAATTATGCGGCCTTGAATTAATCAACATCAAAGTCGTTGTAGTATAGTGGTAAGTATTCCCGCCTGTCACGCGGGTGACCCGGGTTCGATCCCCGGCAACGGCGTTTTTTGCTATTTTGTCTTTTTGCCCCATTTTCTTTTAAAATCATTTTTCAAATCTAATTATACCGTTTTGATTTCAAACGTAATTTTGACCATTTTCTAATACGATTTTGGTAAAATTCAAAACACGGATATTGTATTCCTTCGAGATAACTTTCTAATACAATTTGACTCAACTAGATCGAATATCGGGTGACAACGTTATGCATCAATGAGTCACGTCATTGTGTCATTTTTTCCTTATATCATGTGTTATCCAAATTAGAATGCAAATTCGAATCAATATTTAAAATAATAATTATTTGTCACTCATCATCTTCAAGATCAATACCACTCAAATCTTTCTCATTCACCATTTTCAAATGATTGTGTTCATCCTCATCTTCATTAATTTCTTCAACTCATCATTTCCAATTTCGGCATTTTCTTTATTTTCTTATCGATATCAAACTTGGCTTAAACCCCCAAATCGACGATTTTAATATTTTAAACGAACCGAATATGGTCGGTAAGATCTGACCTATACCTGAAATTCACCTAAATATGTATTGAGGTATCTTTTATTTATCGCGATATGGTGGAGCGATACAAAGTGATATAAAAAGATAAATAACTTGAAAATATACAATAAAAAAGTCCTATTTTTTACCATCAATATTGTATCGTATCATAAAATACATGTCGCGTATCTTAAGATGCTAATGATACTTGTATTAATTTACCATTCCCGAAATCAGTTGAGCTATACTCATGCGGACAGATACTAATAATACTTGTATTGACAATGAGTTGATCTGGATTGAATTCCAATACAAAAGAATTCAAAATTCAAAATTTATAATAATTTCTTTAAAATACCTTCAATACCAATAATACTCTCCCACTAAAATAATTCAAAGATAACCTAAATTTTGAAAATACTTTACAACACACTCTACCGCCACATATCATGATAAAAAAAAATTGTCACTTTTTGTACAAGAAAGAAGATGGTGACAATCTGTATTAACCATAAAAAGTATAGGAGGATAAACAAGGGACAATTGTTATCATATATACTTCAAATAATATAAACTTAAAATAACCAGCATCAAAGTCGTTGTAGTATAGTGGTAAGTATTCCCGCCTGTCACGCGGGTGACCCGGGTTCGATCCCCGGCAACGGCGATTTTTGTTATTTTGTTTATTTTTGTTGCCCCCATTTTCGTTATATCAACGACAAAAGGTTGAGAAATAAAAAATGAATTGAAACAAAACAAAAACTAATATCCATAACACATAAAAAACGTTCATGCTATACATCCTCCGAACCCGTAAAAAGTTTTCGAACAACTTTTGCAGCGTATTTGTTCGACAACTAATGCGAAAGTTGTCCAAAAGCTTTTGAATGAAAAAAGCCTGCTCAAACTTTAAGTAAGCAAAAAGAACGAATCGGAAAATGAATGTTCGTTATTCGTTAAGCATCAAAAGACCCTCGATTCATATCCAACGTATTAATAATCTTGTGTAATGCATAATCTCCGCTGCAATTATACCTGCCCATAAAAATAAAATAAAAAATTAAACCCCTTAAAGAATGCGTTATTACACAGCTAGTAAGTCGTAATGAAAACTGTGTATTCTTTTTCGAGATTTAATTGCCATTACTTATATATCTCTTGTTCAATTTGTATAGCTCAAGGTATCAGTTCTTACATTATATATAGATGATTCATTACGAGTACATGACGACTAATAATAATCGGTAACAGCGTGCAGATGATTCGAGAATTATTCATTCCTACCCGTATTCGAAAAAATTATAGAACATCAACTCTATTTAACAAACTCAAAGTTCATTTTGTTCGATCAAATCATTAATATTAAAAAAAATAAAAAAATATCGAAACAACGGAAAGATTCAATAGAGTCGAAACAGGGGAATTAAATGATGTAGTGTTGTACCACATTTTTTTTACTCGACCCAATTTGCGATCAGCCGGTCCAATAAATCGACCACCTCCTTCGAATTGGAAGTACAACCATCACTCCCCAGGGTACCACCACAATCCAATGCAGCATTCATCTCCAATGCATCTGTAACCCTAGCCTCCCTCAACAAACCCCTGTACACCAAAACCCTAATTTCACTCCCAATCACTAAATTCTCACTCGCCATAAACCTCAAAACCCTAATTGAATCCAGAATCATCCTATTCCTGCAGAATCCATCAACGAGAGCATCGTAGAACTCCAAATCATCGGCCGCGCCGCCGGGGAAATCGGGCCGCGATACCCACTGGAAAATTTTGGCGGCGCACTTCGGGCAGCCTTTTTGGAAATAAGAGGAGACGAACATTTTCGCGACGGGTAGTAGAAATTGGGGTTTTCCGGTGGCGGCGTTGTGCTTGAGGGCGTTGAGAAAGTGCATGGGGTGGGTGAGATCGGGTTCCTCAGCGAGCCTGTTTACGAGGGAGGGGAGGGGGAGTGAGCTGAGAGGAGGGTCTGCGGCGGAGAGGGCGGCGGAGACGAGGTTAATGGCCTCTTTGAGGTGGTTTGAGGAGCAGAGGCGCGGGACGACGGCGTTGATTTCTTTCAACTCGTCTTCGGTTAGGGCGGCGCCACCATTGGTGGTTGTAGAGGTCCACCTGAGTGAGAAATTAGAGGGCGGGTTCCGGCGGAGGAATCGTAGCTTCTGCGCCACTGATTTCATGGTAGCGCTAAATGAAAGCTGAATATAATTGTTTTGTGGATTTTAAATTTAATTATTTCTATATATTTATTCCATTCGAAGTTCTAACGGTCGGTCTAATTAATAAACATCTATGAATATTTCTATATTCATATCAATTACATGAAAAAAATAAATAAAAAATCATGATATTATCAAATCCGTAACATCCTAATCGTATATGAGAAAAATATACAATTGTGTGAGCTTACAAGGAAGTCTCCTACTATTACTGGGCACCAATACCTTCCATGGATTTTTGTTTTAGGGTCGGTTTGTGATTAACGGATCGGGGTTCAAAGCTCGGGGCGTTACAAATGATATCAAAGCCGACTTGGGGTAGCGGTTAGTTGGCTCGAACATGCACATGTTTGTTATGTGCCCTACCAACGAGGATTGTACAATGAAGCCTCCTTCTACTACTGAGCACCAATGTCTTCCATGCATTTTATAGATGGGTTTGTGGTAGACCTGTTGTTGCCCAAGTACCCATTAGACTAATGGATCGGGCTGAAAGTCGCGTTACAAAATCTAAGTAAGAAAGAAACTCTCTCTTAACATAAACCTAATTTCCTAATATAATCTATACCTTTAAATTAATGGACAACGATAACTCTTGACAAACAAACAAACCAAAATCAATGGCACCAAATATACATGGGATCATATTTCATTTCTTCCTAGGGCTGAAAATCGGAACAAACATTTCAATTTTCGTCGATTTCTATCTAATTTTTTTTAATTTTAGAACATTTTTTAAATCGGGTTTACGAAATTCAGATTTCCTATTTTACGGAGATTTTTTGGATTGAAATTGGAAGTATATGTAGAATTTTTGGAATTCCGTCTTCCAATTTGATTTTAATATTCAATAAAAATTCCAAAATTTTGATTTATTTAATTTTGATTATATAATACTGCAATTGTGGTATTTATACCAAATTGATAGTTCGTATAATTTTTTTAATTTTTTTATGTGTTTCAACTTTTGTTTTATTAGTTATATCATTATCTATCATAAGGTGTAGATTTAGACCGGATGGTCTGTTTTAATAAGAAAATCGGATGCCATAGGATGATTGACACGTGGATAATTTAAATTAAAATATAATTAATATTTTAATAATTGGAAAAAAAAGGAAAAAAAGAAAACCCCAGCTGAACCCGTAACCCCTCTAACCCTAATTATAATAGCGTGATTTATTAAGAGTTAGACTTAAAAGTGCCACATGTCAAAAAATTAGTGGAATTCGAGTTATATTAAATATCGGCTCATCCGCTCAGAATTTAATCTCCTATCATAAATGTGGATTATATAGATGAATTCATCTTTTTGAGATAATTGGTGAAATTCATGCTATTGATTTTTATAAAATTCAATTTTCATAAATTCTGAAATTTACAAAATTTCCGAAAAATCGAGGTGTTTATAAAAACTACAGACATAAGTGAACATTTATAGGACTTATTTAAAATTCGAGGGTATTTTGCTCGATTTATACGCTTTAATCCATATTTTTTTTGTTGAAAAAAGTGATTGAGTGATGAAATTAAATAAATATGGCCTATTTATATTGTCAAAATAAACATGCATTGGTTAACAACGATAAGTGAGAGAGCGAGATTTTGCTAATTAATAATTAATAATAATAATTATTATTAAGCCTTGCTAACAAAGTCCTATATAATATTCTTGTCCTATTTCATTTGTTTAGTTTTCTCCAATTGTTTGTGCATTGTGATTTGTGACTTGCGATTATAGAATATTTTATGACACATAATTTAATAAACATCGATCGAAACAAAACCAACAAGGACGAGGCAACTTTGTTAGCCGGCTTCAATAGCATTTACATGGGGCCGAAAAATAATTCAATTAGTACGGAAAATTAAATTAATATATAATTAGGATATAGTTTTATATCAACAAGAATGCCGGTTTTGTTCGGCTTATGCAATAACGAAGTTTTGTAGAATCTACAACTGGTGAAATTTCCCATGTAGTTCTACACTATTAATTTACACATAATAAAGCACACACATCAGTGTGTACGTGTGCTTAGAGAATAGTTATTTATGTATATTTGCTGTTTAAAATCACATAATGTACTTCACCAGGTGTAGAATCTCGTAAGCTCAATAACGAAACTATTCTGTTCTCTAACGAAGTTCATCTTCTTGTGCTAAAAAAAATGTTTTGTATGCTTTTCAAAAAAGTTTGTCGTCTCAAATTTGTCATTTTTCTTTTGAAGTCTTGTTCTAATGTTATGAGTTGTTTTGTCTAGTGGACGATTTTTTGTAGTTTCTGAAGACTTTATTTGATTTTAGTGTTATTGGTCGGGGGATAATCGCAATAAAATTTCTGAATTTCATCGATTTTTAATTGGATAGTTTTTTTTTTTTTTTTTGAAACAATATGTTTTCATTGTGAATTATAAAATTTCAGAATAAAAATATATTTTTTGTTAATATTATTATAAGTTATAAAAAACCTGAAAAAACAATTATCTATAAATTATTTTTTTTAAATATTTATATGAACTTATTATTTAATTTTGTATTAATTGTATATATATATAAAAAAAAAACTCGTGAGCCGGCTCGCGAGATCATGGACAATTAAGAATGAGCTTGGGCTCAACTCGTCAGAGAAGTCGAGCTCTAGCTCGAAAAATTCAAATTCAAGTTCGAGTTTCTGTCGAGGGCTCAGCTCATTAATCCCTATGCACGATATAGGACCACAATCCTTCATAAATAAGATTTTAATTTCTGTTTGCAAATAGGGGTGCGGTAGATACTGCACTTAAATGTGATAGAATATTCTTTTTTAATACACATCATCGATTATAAAACTATGTATAATATATGTGCAAATAGTGAAATAGACTATAAATAATGTTGTATTAATTGTTAGGTACACTCCATCACATATAATGGGACTACGAAGATGACGATGAAACTCACATGTATTAAATAAATCAAATATATTGTAATTGGTGATTAAATAATTATATTATTATGACATGTCGTTGGATGTAACATCTATATAATTATTTGTTATATGCTATACCCGTTGAACTTCACACTGAACTGTATCATACAGTTTATGCAAAATGATTCATACATTATTTTACGGATTTTTTTTCATTGACGAAAGAAATAACAACTACTAGAAATACAGTGGGTAAATTCCGCCATCGTGCAATAATTTACAAATTACACAAGAGACGTGTCATTCATTAAGACTAGATTAACTATTTTTACAGATATTTATATTCTCGTGCGTGTGATTATGTATTAAGAGGGTGTTTGACTAAGTTTACAAGCTCTAAAAAGAAGATGTTTAGGAGTTTATAAGATCTTTCAAACTGTTTGATAACTTTTCTTTAATCTTAAAAATTCAAAAAATGAGATGTTGAGAGCAAATAAAATCCTTTTTTTTTACAAAAAAAATATAGAACTTATTTTTTTATTTAAGATCTTATAATTGAGTAAAAATAGTTATAAGCTCATTATTCATGCACTTTCAAAATTAATTTTAAAATAAGCCGTAACATTTTATCCTCTCTTAAAATAAGTTATTTGATATAAGAGTTTATCAGTTATTTAAAATATATTTAGACAAACGCGCCAGAAATCAAATACAAAATACCGGCTCAACATATATACTCCGTATTTAAGAGCTTACGTAGTCTATAAATGTAATATAATTCACTCGATATACCTACCATTGAATAAGTCTACTATACTAAAGATAAAGGTCAATCCCTACATTAAGGGGTTCTTTAATCTTTATTTATCATGAATCTGACTCACATTTTAATGGGGATGAATCGAATTCCATAACCTAAAAAAAGATTCTCTAGATTCTTCCTCTAGAAAATGGAATCTTATTACTTAGACATGACCTGATTTCCTTCTTTGCCCCTCTTAAATAAATTAATTTATCATTTCATTTTACGGAATCTTGTGATTCTATCAAGAGTCTGGAATATTAAAATGGAAATTTCTCCAAAAGAAAAAAAGAAAAGGATAAATTGCGGTCACTCTTTGAGGTAATGTTAAATTACTGAAATAATCATTTTATTTGGATAATTACAATCAGCCCCTCAACTATAAATCTTCTTACACGTCCATTCTTATAGTGTTAAATTTAGTGGAATCTTCTAAATTACGTGAAATATTCTCCATGTTTGTATCCATTTTATTCCATTCGAGCTGCATATTTAATATTTTGAAACAAGAAAATCATTTGGCTTGTAAATATTAGATTGTGGTGCATTAAAAATTGTATTTTTTTGCACAAAACGAATACAAATTAGAGAACATTCCACAAAATCTAAAAGATTCAGTTGAATTTGACATCATAAAAGTTGACGTGCAAGAAAATCCATAATTTTAGAAGGTGATTTAATCACTCAAAAAATATGGATGTTTTCGTAATTTAACTTGACCATGGCGGTAAACCCCACCGTAAAAAGAAAAGAAAATAAAGGACAAAACAGCAATAACGACAATGGTTGGTTGAATCTTCGATCTTACCAAATGTTCACCACCACCTACCCCTTTAATTTCTTTTTAAAGAAGAATTTAAATAATTTCCATTTATAATTTAGATTTTCCTTTCATTTATTTTACCAAAGTGAAATGTTCAAACACAAACGCCTATAAAAACCACCTCTTTACTTCCTCTCAGTTATTCTACTCACACTATACTATACTATACTCCTTTTGCAGAGTGACATTTTTACCAATAATTTATTTTTACAAAGTTTTATATTTCGAAATAAAAAAAATAAAAAAAAAATTGTTCTTGAGGAAATATGTCTCTGCTGAGTGATCTCATCAACTTGGACCTCTCTGATACTACTGAGAAAACCATCGCCGAGTACATATGGTTAGTGTTTTTTTTTTTTCTTTTCAAGATTATATTTTTATTTATTTTTTTTATTTTTTTTCCATTTTTTTATGATCATTTCTGTGATTTAATCCCCTATAGAATTTGTGTGTTCTTCTTACTTTTCATGGAAAGTGTGTAGATTAATTTATTTTTGCTAACTATGGGAGTTTTCTTGATTAAGGTTGTCTTTATTTTTATTTAGTTATACCTCGTACTTGCACCCATGTAACTTCCAATATGTTTGGAAGTTCTTAAATATACTTGCAGTCTAGAATTTTCTTGATTTTTTTTTTAATGATTTCTGTAAATATTTTTTATACTTGGATTTTTCTTATATATGTATTATCTTGATCAATTTTCAGGATTGGTGGATCTGGTATGGATCTTAGGAGCAAAGCCAGGGTAATATTTTCTCTACCCTTTTCAGACAATTTAAAAAAAAAATCTCTTCATTAGTATATTTTAATCTTTTTTATTAACTAATTAATTAATTTTTAATGTTTTTATTATGGTGTGAAATCAGACATTTTCTGGTCCAATTAAGCATCCATCAGAGCTGCCAAAATGGAACTATGATGGCTCAAGTACTGGCCAAGCCCCTGGTGAAGATAGTGAAGTTATTCTTTAGTATGATCCATTTTATTATTTATTCAATTATTTATTTATTTATTTAATTATTTCTTATATTTATTATGATTCTTTTTCTTGTTGTTGATTATATTAATATACAGCCCTCAGGCAATTTTCCCCGATCCATTCCGACGAGGAAACCACATCCTTGTAAGCGTTTTCGTAACCTTCGTCTCTACTCGAAAAATGAAATCAAATTACTCGATGTTTTAATTTAATTTCAAGATTATTATTTTTAATTTATTTTAATTTTAATTTAATTTGAATAGGTGATGTGTGATACCTACACACCAGCTGGTGAACCTATTCCCACAAACAAGAGATATGGTGCTGCTCAAATCTTTAGCAACCCTGAGGTTGCTGCTGAGGTTCCATGGTAATAATGCTTTCGAAATCGATTTTTTCGACATTTTATTTATTTTAAAAAAAACAAATAAACAAAAAGATCTTAATTTTTTTCAATTTATATAAAAATAAATAAAAATACAGGTATGGAATAGAGCAAGAGTACACTTTGCTACAAAAGGATGTGAAATGGCCTTTGGGCTGGCCCGTCGGAGGATTCCCCGGACCTCAGGTAAAAATAATTGGATATTATATTTTTCATTTTTCCGGTTTTTTAAATCGAATATTTGAAAATTAATTCGATTTTTATGGTTTGTTTTTAGGGGCCGTACTATTGTGGAATAGGTGCAGACAAGGCGTTTGGTCGTGATATTGTCGATGCTCACTATAAAGCTTGTCTTTATGCTGGCATCAACATTAGCGGCATTAACGGCGAAGTTATGCCGGGTCAGGTAAAATCAAATACACCAGAACCTCGATAAATTAATAACATTTCTTACATAATATTAATTTTTTTCCGATCCTGACTCGGTAAAAATGTACTGAATTATAAGTTCGATAATTTAATATTTCGCTGAATTAATAGAATTTTGTAATTTAAATACTTGCAATCATCAGTGGGAATTCCAAGTTGGACCGTCCGTCGGAATCTCCGCAGGAGACGAGGTGTGGGTGGCTCGTTACATTCTCGAGGTAAATTTTGTAAAACTATCGAAAAAGAAAAATAAATTAAATTCAAATTTTATTACATAAACTTCCCTCAAATATTTCTTACCTCTAGATCAGATTTTAATATTTTTTTAATTTTTTTTGGTATTTCGGCAGAGGATTACCGAGATTGCAGGAGTTATCGTCTCTTTCGACCCTAAACCAATTCAGGTATGTGCCAAAAACTCAACTTGTGGGCCCCACTTGTTCATTATTACACGCATGTAATTAATTATAATATTTTTTTTTACGCCAATAGGGCGACTGGAACGGAGCCGGCGCGCATACAAACTACAGGTTCGATTATGCAATGCGTATGCTCGTCTTTTTATTTGTTTCGAAATGTCGTCTAACATATATGGTTCCTAATAATAGTATAGCATTTAATTTTATTTTATTTTAAATTGAAATATTTTTTTAGTACAAAGTCGATGAGAGAGGAAGGAGGGTACGAAGTGATAAAGAAGGCAATCGACAAGCTCGGTTTGAAGCACAAGCAACACATTGCTGCATACGGTGAAGGCAACGAGCGCCGTCTCACCGGAAGGCACGAAACCGCCGATATCAACACCTTTAAATGGGTAATAATTCAACGTTTTAATTTCCCCACTAAATCGGAAAGTGATTCAATCAATCTCGTCCGTCCGTTAAAATCTTGCAATCTTTTTGATAGGGTGTGGCGAATCGTGGAGCGTCGATTAGGGTTGGAAGGGAAACCGAGCAGGCGGGAAAAGGCTACTTTGAGGATAGAAGGCCAGCTTCTAATATGGATCCATACATTGTTACTTCTATGATTGCAGAGACAACCATTCTCTCCAAATCTTAAAAACATCATTAAAAATTATTCTGTCTTTTTTTTTTTTTTTTTTTAATTTATTGCATTTTAATTTCCTAAGTTATTTGAATGTGTTTTTAATTTAGACCCAACAATAAAATTGTAACCTTCTGAATTTGTTGGCTTGTTTGATTGAATTTGATGTTTGGTACATAATTTGCATTTATTTATGTAGATTATGTTCTATTTAAATGGAGTGTTGTGAAATTGGATGATTGTGGATTGTATTTACTAAAATCCTAGAGTTTTGACAATCTAATGAATTGGTATTAATGACTAAAATTATTATTATTTGATCCTTTTTTTTTTAAATCGAGTACGACTCAAAATATCGGATTTTCTATCTTTTGATATTTGATAAAAAAAAATTATAAAAAAAGTCGAACATTCGATCCCTCCCTACAACGGAAGAATTAGTGTCAAACCAACTAAGACGATGTTTGAGTAAACTTATAAATAAGTTTTTCAGACGCTTATGAAAAATTTATAAGTTCTTAAATATCTTATGAAAAACTTATAATTTAGTACAGAGTATTTTATTATCCAAACAATTTAAAAATTAATTTTAAAAATAAGATGCAACAGCTTTATCAGCTCGAGAAATAGCTTCACAACTCCTTAAAATAAGTTGATACATCTCATATTACTTACCCTAATATTTTATTTGCTTAGATCTTTGCTTGTACATTTATATCTTATTCTGAAAGTCAATTGTTGATGATAATATCATTAAAAATATATATATATATTTACCAAAATATAAATTTTCTAAGTTATTAAACATCTCGTAACATATTTTAAAAACCTTATAAATATGGGTAAATTCCACTTTACCCCCTCGTACTCTGCTTGAGAACCACTTTACCCCTCGTACTCTCAATTTCACCGATTTACCCCCTTGTACTTGTACAATTTCCCAATACAGCCCTTTCCTTCAACTTTTGTCAATTTTGACTCTGACGCCGTTTGGTCAACTCTGTAAATTACAAAATTGCCACTGCCTATAACGCGTCGTTTCTCCTCCGTCAATATTGTCATTTCTTCTTCTCCCACCACTTCCCCTTCCAAGATATCCCCAAATTGCACACCTAACTTAGTAAAAATCAAGACCCAAAAATTGATCGATTCCACTCAGTGCAAAAAAAAAAAATATATGAATGTGTGAAACTCTCTCTTTTCTAATCTCGAGAGTCAAAATCGAAAAAATTCAATATTTACGTCAATATTTTGACTCTTGACCAAATAGCGTCAGAGTCAAAATCGAAAAAAATTGACGAAGAGGGTTGTATTGGGAAATTGTACAAGTATAAGGGGGTAAATCGACGAAATTAAGAGTACGAGGGGGTAAAGTGGTTCTTGGGCAGAGTACAAGGGGGTAAAGTGGAATTACCCTATAAATATTAGCCAAGCAAATTGTGATGATATCAAGCAATTTCTTTGGTTGGTATAAGTGATGGCTGAGGCATATCTTGCTTTAAAAATATATATTAAATGAATAAAATAATAGCAATAAATATTTCTTCATATGTACGTTTTCAATTAAGTCAATAATGTAATTCCAATTTCCTGCTACACCTGTTATTTATTATTGGAATTAAATTAAATTAAATTATTTGGTTCGACGGCGTCGTTTTGCTTGTCAATGTCATACCTAAACACCATACGTACTATTTTTTGATAACCTATTTAATTGTGTATATCTCTATCTTAAGGTCAAGTGTGTGTTTGCAAAAGTCATTTAAAGTATAATTTAATTATACTAATTTAAATCCATATAAATTAATATAATTAGGATTGACAAAAAAATGTTCAATTATTAATTATTATTTTATTGACTACCACATTAATTAATCAAAACTAGTGTTTATTTCATCAATAAATAAATTGTCCAATTATCATGTATACATATATATTACTAGTGGGCCAATTTAAAATAAAATAAAAAATTATATAATAATTAATTGTTCACTGAATTATCTTAGCCATTTTATCAAATAATCAAATAAAAGAATTTCTTCTTCTTCCTTTTTTTTTTTTATGCGGTGCAGTTTCACGTCACGTCACTCTACTAATTCATTAGTCGCTTTTTGTAATACCTTGTGTCGGCACTGCATACGTCACTAAAATTTGTTAAGAAATCGAGCTTTCATCCTAATGAAATTTCTATGACGCTCAAATCAGCTCTATTTAGATAGAAGAATACAAATTCAAGAGGCTTCTTGAGAATTATGAACTACGTAACGACATGTTTATTTTGTGATACTATGTAAATTAGAATAAAGTAAAATGTATAATAGTATTTGCACGTATCCTAGGAACTGAACTGCATGTTAAACTTCTGCATTTGCATTGAGGACTGATACACTTTTGAAAAACATTTGTGGGGGCTGATAAACCGTATCTAAGTTGTCATGTGCACTTACTTGTGTAATTCTATTTCTCAAATAAACTTTGACAATACTCGCAAACAATGCATAATTTTGTTTAATATGACGAAACTTTTGCCACTACTACACTTCGTCATAAGTGTAATCAAACGCAAAAGTACGATTTCTAGCGTTAATTTGAATAATTAATATTTTAAAAATATGTTTGGTAAAAGTTAGATGTAAATGCACCATCATCGTCACCATCATCGTCATCATCATCGTCGTCATCATCAACCAAAATTTGAGGAAAGTAATAATAATGGTTGGAAATTAAAAACTTTAGCTTTTGTCACGAGTTTTCTTTTTCTCTCTTTTTAAATAAAGAAGATGAAGACTTTTTCTTGGATATGAAGATGAGGTAGTAAGACTATAAAAAGACTGCACCGAGTTTGGTCTATGGATAGTGTGTTGGATCAACTTTTAGGTGAAAGATAACAAAACAAATTGGATAGGACAAAGTACTATTACTAAAATTGGCGTAGACACCCATACTGATGTGTGTAGATCAACAACGAAATTTCATTAAGTGTAACCTTCATCGCAACGCCTTACTATCCAAACATACATGTAAGAAGCACTTTAAAACCTTTGATTATTCCATGTCTCATGTTTCTTGTCAGGAAGAAATTGGATGCCGATTTCAATTTCGAGACAATATTTTACATTCTTAATTCCGAAAATCCAAATTTCCAATTTTTCAGCAATTGTTTGATTCGAAATTGAAATATAGATTGATTTTCATCTCCAAAAATTCTGATTTATTAAAATTACATTTGTAACATAATATTATAATGGTTGGTTGGTCATAAATTGTTTCTAAGAACGAATTAAAAATAAAATAAATTTGCAAGGAAACAAAGATGACTCTCTATTCATCTGTTCGATGTAGTAAACATATAAGAATCAACGAGTGCTATTTTACAACATAGTCACAATACTTGTGCAAAAAAAGATGACCTTTTTTATTTTACTACTGCCTAGTCGAGAATAAAGCAATCTATTCGTACAACTTTACTCGTAAAAAAAATTAAAAAAAGAAAAAAAAAAAGAAAAAAGAAAAAAGAAAAAAGAAAAAAAGTATGTATGTATACAGAATCATATATTGAATTAATCATGATTTATTCGCATCGAACTCCACATATTGAACGCAAGTCTCGAATGGCTCACCTGATCGAAGAAGTGCTTCTGATAGATGTTATTTTTCTTTCTTTGTTCCGATCACAGAAGTTTCTAGACCTCTTATTCTGCAGTATATCTACAATAGTATGATCAACACATTAACGATGAAAATGTTTCTATAAGTAATCGAGCTTCTCGATAAAGATATTACTCAAGACTAAACTGTTATCATAAAATGACGAATAACTGCCAAAAGTCTATCCACCAAATGTGAAATATGTAAAGATATATATATATATATACCTTGTATGTCAACCAAGAAATGTGGTCATATTACGAACTTCATGTAGTTGGGCGTGTCATTGTCGATGAACCTCGTCCCACTTGGATAATATTTTGGAGGCCCTCAACTGATTCTTCCTCAAGCACCACCGAACCTGTAGAACCAAATTTTTATTTATTTATTTTTAATATTTTTTTCCTCAACCGATTCTTCCTAAGAAATAGCATAGCTTTAAACTCGTATTATTACAGAATTAAATCTCACCGGTGGCTACTTCTCCAGCCTGAGAGCCAGCGACTCCAATGCAAGAGAACAAGGAATTATCATCCACCTTCAACTGCTCGTACGCAATATATACATCTTCGATAGTAGCAGCTTCATATAGTGAAATCAGATCTTTTATGCATGAAATATCCTGCCAATTCGTGCAAGAACATAATATCGTAAGTACTAAAGATGCTAAATAATATTCTTTCGTGTAGAGAATATTCCAAATATTCTTACCTTTCTTGGTACAGATGTTGCTTGTAAGTGAGCCATTAACCCTAGCCAATATGCATTCGACTTTATTTCAGCTTCATGACGCATAAGCAGTGTTCGTCTTGCCTGTATATGCACACAAACAGTTATTCAGCAAGATCGAGTTTTCACACCAGGCTCGTGAGCTTTTCATTCTTTTTATTTTTTATTAATAAAAAATATAATGAGTATATATAAATAGGCTCGAGTTAAAACATTTCGTGAAGCAACTCACTCTGTCCAACTCCCTTGGGGCAATCCTGCTGCTGAGCAGACCTTTGAGTACATTCTTGCAAGCATCGACAGCTTTATGTACCTGCATATTTTATCGATTATAAATATTAAATTGACATGCGAAATCATAATCGGTGATTGAAATTGGAGGAAAAAAAATTAACACATACACACCTTTCCAGGGGTTGATGTCACAGATATCACATACCACCCGAGCTTCAACCGATCAAAGAGGTTTAGCTCAAAAGACACATCATATGTCAGTCCAAGAGAATCCCTAACTGTCGTAAAGAGCCTATACAATGAAAATGAAAAAAGAATTACGAAAAAGCCATTATTTTGAACAATTTTTTTTCTTTTAAATACATTTGAGAAATACTTATTGAAAAAAGTAAGTCTACCTGGAATTTATGATCTCTTGCAATAGGCCCATTGTAATGGCAAAAAATAACGGGTGAGTACGCAGTTTGCCTTGCATGACCTTGTCGGAATTTTCCAACTCTTGGGGTTGTTCTTCAAATTTTACATGTTCACCTGGAGAACAATTTATCAAACATGTAGGGACGTCAAATTAATTGTCTATATTAAGAAACTTAAAAAATAATCTACTGAATACTGCAAGAACTTACCAAATGTAGAGGCAGTGCTGTCTGATTCCAGAAGGTTCTTTCCCTCAAAAGTAAATCCCCAACGATTCGGTGCAGGGCCAGCCACGTATGCGCATGCTCGCTCATCTGTGTCCTTCAAAAACACCTGTATAGCAGCAAACAAATTAAACATCCAAAAGATAAACCCGAAAAATTATATTAAAAAAAAAAGGATGAAAACAGCGTCCAGAATAAAACTATTACGACTCAGAAGGTCACTGATTAACCTTGCAAGACTTAAGAAGCAATAGTAGCATTTCAACTTTGACCAGAGAAAACATATTTATTACAATAAATAATTATGTCCTTACTTGTTGATGCTGTAAATCAGCAGTATATGGTCGGAATAAGATTGGGCTGTATTTTTGTGCTCTTTCGGAACCTTTTCTTTCTCTAACTGTACCCAAGTACTCCAAAATACAAGACTCGATATCCTCTTCTGAGAAGTCTCCAACAATACTCACCTGTCAAAAAGCACAAAAACAAAAACAAAAATGCTTATTATTTCGATGAGAAGACTTTTGGCACATTTGACGAAATTATTAAAAGAAAAATGCAAGGATGCAAAACCTCCATGTTGTCGCAGACAAATTGATTCATCACTGCCTCTTTCACTTGTTCTAGTGTCAACTGTTGTAAGGAATTTGGTGTGGGCTCCACAAACCGTTCATCTCCATCCAGCATAGCAAGCATCAGCTTGTGGGCGGTAGACCGCTCTAAGCTTTTGGGAATAGAGCGGTAATACGACAGGTATAACTGCTTAGCTCTATCAAATGCATCTTCTAACCAGACACTATGCTGCAAAAAGAAAATGACACGAAACCAAAAAAAACAAACTCAGGAGAATGAAATGAAACGATTCAATAAAAATATCTTGCAGTACGTGACTTGTCGAATTACACTAATATAATTACACGAGGACTAACTAGGTCCGGAAATGAAACAATTCAATAAAAATGTAACGTGATAGAACACTTGAGATTACCTCAAGTACCATATGAAGTAACTGGAAAGCGGCACGCATCCCATTATCTCTTAGAGTAAAACGAAACTCCATGCTTATAAATTCCTCAGTTGACTCCAGGGAGCAATTTATCAGATGATTTACACAGAAAAGTTCTACCTGGAAACAGATATTATGGATTACAACAGGAAGATTAATGACATTTAAAAATCCCATACGAGAAGAGCAACTAAAAACAGAATATATGTTATACATAAAGAGAAAAAAAATTAAAGTTAAAAGGGGTGAACTTGAAACAATTCATTGTGCTTCTCATTGAAAGAACAAAATATAAAATTTATTTTCTGATTTTGCACTCACCTGCTCACGTGTGAAGTTCCCCACACGGCCCCCTTCACTCAGAGTTCGAACACCAACAATAACAGCTCCCTTGGACTCAGCACTTTCGGCTGCCCGTCCACCACCGACTATGAGGCGCATGACACCACTATTTGCTTCACTTTTGGATATCTAGTAGCATATAACAAGAATAACATGTATGCTTTGTTAGAGAATTTTTTTGGTAATATTATAGAAATAGTGGTCAGTATATATTTGACAAATAACTCAGTATGAAAATAGCTTGAAGTGACAGCAAGACTAACATCATTAATACTGCGAACTATTTGTGTAATTTTGACTTTCATATATTTTTTATATGAGAAGTTATTATTTCTTAGATGTTGGACACGACAGTGTGAGGATAAAAGCATCGTAGTGAAACTATAAATACAATGTTACCATATATTTTAACAACACTGCTTCATATCACCTCTTATTTGGAATGAACATAAAGACTATTGATTCATAGCTAGAATCGAATTTTATTTTTCACAGACAAAACATGAAAGCCTTTATTGATTTTGAAGCATACTGATCCATTACGGTTTTAAAAGTGTCAGACGGCATGTGTTAAATAGTTGTCTACTCTGTAATTTTTTTAGCCTTTCTACAATAACATTAAACTGGGAAATAAGATCATGAAGATTGTTTATGCAAGTAAATGTTCAATTTGAAATATCCTGAAAAGTAAATAACAACCGTCAATTAAAGACTCCAAAGAAGATCAACAGAAACTTAAAAAACAAACATTATGATTTATGAACATCAACTAATTATGAAAATAAAAATGATTTACCTTGTAATTTACAGGAATTCCATTCGAAAGACGGCGCTGAATGATTCCTGTCTCCTCATCGTAAACCTTTGTCATTTTCTTTTCTTGGTCCACAGGAATGAAAGAAGGAGGTTGCTGCAAACTCAACTCCTGCAGCTGTTCTGAGGAGATCAACTCCTTCGGTATCTCAAGCTGTAGAATGAGAAAAAAGACAGAAGTCAAAAATATAACCTTTTCAACGGAACTGCCCTATTTACATAAACATAATATCTGTACCCAGAAAGGAGACAATTTCCCCAGGCCACCGTATTGTCCCCCTTATAAGTTATAACTATAACTGTTGAAACAGAAAAAAAATATTCAAGGTAGAAACCTCGGGTTCAGCCTCTATAGGTTCTTTCAAACCAGCTTCAATAGAAGCAAGGATTTCTTCTGGTTCAATCTTGAATTCAGTTTCACCAATTCCATCGATGTGGACTTTCTTTGGAACACATGCAACAATTGCAGCTGGCTGAGGTGCAGACGGTTTCCCATAATCAGATATGAACTCCAATACCTCTGCGCCTACAGAATTGACCTAAGACAGGTCAAAAAGGGTCAAGTATACATCAGTTCCAATTTTGTCACATAAATATTTGTCTACTATAAACACCGTCACAAAATACAAAAGGCCACTTTCAGAGGAAAAGAATTGTTCGAAAAAGGATAAGGTGGGAGTTACCTCCTCGAGGCTAATTGTGCCAGCAACAGCAACCAAACTCTCATGTCCTTGCCTTTGATCCATCACAGTATGACCGAGTGAGTCACTTTCCATAACAAAATCCAAGTTATCCACTGATGATATGTTGTCAATCATAGATGCCAATTGTTCACTGTCTTTTAATAGGGCGTCCAAATAACGAGCTAATTCACCGTTTGTAACACCAAATTCTTTAAGCCTTCTAACCTGATGCAAAACAGTAAAAATACAAGTACGAAATCATACCAAACTTTTCAAGAAAATAAATGGCACTTGAAAATAAACAGCACCAAATGAGATCATATCTTTCTCATGGAATAAAATATCTGTGAAGTGGCAGTAATATTGGACACATGCACATAGAGAGACATACGAAGTTACAGAAACAACATACCTCTTGCACAGCAACTTTAATAGCATTTCTCCAATTTTGAGGTTCTGCAGTCACTGTAAGAGTAGTAACAGTACAACCTTCTCTTCCTGAGTCACTGTGATCCAATTCCACTGAGGTAAACGGGGGATTCGAACTCTGAAAAGTAATTAGCTTCAAATTTAATGGAAAATACGCAAACTAGAAAAGCTAACTACCCAAGAAGAATGTTAATAGCATATGGTTATGGACAAAAAAGTAGAGTAACTCCAAGCAAACTTTGTGGCAATGATCTGTAGTACCAACCACATAAAATCCAATTAAACAATTAATATACCAAAAATATTGCAGACATAAAAAAAGGCAAAACTTTTGATGCTAAGCAATTGCGTTCTAAGTTCCATGCAAAGGTCAAAAGTCATTTCATTAATAAGGTTTCCTCCAGTTTTGTTTCATCAAGGAACTATTTCAGATTGAATTCATAGGTTCAGTTTCCAGCTTATAGGAGGGCAGAACTGAGTCAATCCATTAGAGGATTGCAAAGAAATAAAGTGGTTTTAAACTGAACATTTTTCAGGATTGACAAAACAAGGATAATTTGAACTTCCCTTCACAGAATTGCCTTAAATTTATAAAAAAAATCTTTGACTTCCCTTAGATTTGAGGAAATAAAACACATTTTACTCTTATTTCTCTTGAATAATCTAGAAACAACGCACTATTCGTGAATTTATTTTTTTGGGAACGGTGTTTAACTAAAAGGTACACCGTAATATACTTCAAGCGGGTTACTACTTTTGCAGGAGCCAATTGAAGAGAAAAACTAATGGACCTGGTATCTTGTATTAATGCGGAAATGCAGAGCAGAAAGAAATATCCTCTTCATCAGCACATTCCGCAAATCACCATATGTACGGACCTTGTTGACAGGGATCTGAGAAGCAAAAGCAACTAATTCATTATAAGCAAAAATGAATGATAAAACAAGAAATAACTTCAAAAACTTCGTAGGAACTAAATGAAATAACTCCAGGTACTGCTGCTCCAATAGAAAAACATGTACTATAAGCACAACTCCGAGAAATGAATACTGACTATATATTCCAGTTTAAACTAAGCCAGCTAAGTTTTTTATTCTTTCATGCTCTTGACATCTACCTGTTCAACTAGGTAATTATGTAACAACATCTTATTGTAAATTAGAAAAAGGATGCCTTCAAAATTCAAACAACCCCAACCCACAAAGAATATAAAGACAGAGCAGAAGAGAGGGAAAGAAGAGAAAGAACACTTTCAAAGATAATTATATTATACAATTTCACCTTGAACTAGACTGACTAACGCCATAAAGCAAAGATACAGAGAAGTGAGTTCGGAGAAATACTTAAAGGAGTGATAATAACCTTGCAGAACATATTAATTGAGAAATTCTGAAGCAATTCATGCTGAAATATCTGGGGAGACTTTGAGTCTGCATAGCTTCCAGGAATGGACCAATTATGCTGAACAGGAGGGCGAACAGCATGCCTTTCCTTTCTAATTTTCTTTTTCTCCCCATTAGCTTGTGCCCTTTCTGAAGATAAAGCATTAGACAGTCCAACTGACAGCTTAGGAACAAGAAAATTGGCCATTGCATTGAAAGCACTTGGTGTAGGTGCAGTATATGCCTCACTTTCTGTGCCAGTTTGTCCAAAAACAGCCTGAAAAACTCTCGGAAATTAATTATGACATCAGAAGTAACAAATTCAGAGATGAAAGCATAGAACTGATGTCATATATCAACATTATCTCGTGATAATTGAAGGCAACATACTTCAATGTGGTTAACCGTCTGTGGAATGTTATCAATGTCTCCAACAATGTACAATGTGGCATTAGCGGGGAAATACCAACGCTCGTGGAATTTCCTGATTTTATCAGCATCCCATTTCTTAATCTGCTCCTCCAATCCAATAGGAAACCTTTTGCTTAACTTGTTTTCAGAATGCAAGTATTGCAACAACTATACCAACAAAGAAAAGAAGCATCGGATGAAGGACGGGACAAAAATGTGGTAAAAAGATGACGCGTTAAAAAAGCAAAATTATCTATTCAAATACCTGGCAATCAACACGGTACTCGATGGTATTCATCATTTGCAGTTCAGACAAAATTGCACGTCGTTCTTTTTCAACTCGAGAAACCAGAAATTTTGGTTGAAAAGCAATCTGTGGACAAAAATAGATTCATTAAGGAACCATAATCATAAAGCACCTAATGAGAGAAGCAAAAATAAAACATTAAATGGTGTATAAACTAACAATAGACTGCAGAGCCATTGCCGCAGAATATGTAAACCACTTCAAAATGCAAAAAGAAAAAACTAAAAGAGAAGCTATACCTCATTCAGAGTATCCAGAACAACTGGCAGCAAATCACCTTCAGAATCCTAGAGATGAAAATTCCATTATGTTAAGAATGCAAAAATTACAGTGCTGGACCATAAACGCAAACTGTTCAGTACAGAAAGGAACCTAGCAGTGAAGAACCATCTATAAAAAAATGGTATGAGATGAAACAAATGATAACAATTCTACTAGATAACAATATGTTGATAAAATATAAATCATTCCAATTATCCAGGAAAAATAATTACTAAACTCAAACCCCTTAACACATTCACATTTAGTTTTTTTTTCTTTTTACTTTTCCATCTAGGAGAGGCCAGGAAGTTGGTCCCAGCAAAAACAAAGATAGTGTCCGATTCCCTCAGTTTTCAAGAGCTTTTCGACCACTCCCCACTTCGTCTAAGTTTGATCAACTTTTTAACAATAAAAAACAGCTACACAATGAAAACTAGAGACATAAACAACAGTCAATGGAGCATACAAAAGTAGGGAGACTCACAAGCAAAAGATGAAATCAGCACTAACCTTTGTACTGGTTGGTGAATGGATATGAAACACAGTGTGATGAAAATCGGTGTAAGCATTAGACCTTGCCCCTGTTCCAAGAAGTTTCTCACGTTTCTTACTTCCAAGAAATGCAACATGCTCAATCATATGTGCAATTCCTTGCTCATCATCTTCCTCGTCGATGGATCCCACATGAACTTCCATGTGAGCTTCAAACCTATACTTCAAATGTTGCATGCATGTTATTAGAGAAACAGACGAGAATCACAGAAAAGTGATTTTCTTCAGATTAAAATATCCATATGGACATTAGGGAACGGTAAATAATGGTCCCTAGAAACCATGTTTATTTACATGCAACAGGTACCATAATTTAAACTAGCATTTCAGAGGTCCCGTCCGAGTGATTTTAAGTTAGTTTTGTGGGCTCATGTTTGGGTGTGACTTACTAGTTTTGAGTTCAACAAAATCCAAAGGATAAATACACATACTAATAAAGATCACAGATTTTTTTTATCTTGCCCATGGTCTCTGTCTCAATTGTAAAATGATGTCTAATAAGACAAAAGCAGCTCAAAATGCATACTCGGTTGATCTAGAATGATTAAAGAACAAGTAAGGGATCCTGAATACTTTTTAAGTTTATAACCATGGCAAAGTAATTATGTAACCTCTATACATATCCATGTATAACAGTTCAATACAGAGGCTTCAAATTTTTTAATTGGCATTGTAAATGACATTTCTGTCTCCACGAGATATAATTTCAGCCAGGTAAGAAAGAGGTCAAGATTGCTCCAGCTTTTGTCAACTAAAATGTAAATAAGAAAAATATCTTCATTAAGTGGCAGCATCATACGCAAATTATCCCTTTTTGCTAATTTAAGGGACTTATATCTCTCTCACGTTATTTTAATCCTAAAACCTATAAAGAACATAGACATGTCCTTAGAATACTTCATCTAACTTCATCAGAGATCTCATTAAATGTTCTGATATTGATTAACAAGGTACGAATCCTAGCTATTAT